TCTTTCTTTCTTTCTTTCTTTCTTTCTTTCTTTCTTTCTTTCTTTCTAAATAGTACCCTTCTAAAATGAGAGAAATTAAACCTCTTTCTAAAAAAGAACAAGGGTGTCTACCATAAAAGTCAGTTAATACTGTACGCCTATGACAGATTGCAATGAGGTTGAGAGTGAAGGAAGTCTCTAGACACAAACAATCAGCAGATGGGACAGATTGTTACAGGCTTATCAAAGAAATGGATTCAGTGTCCGTCACACAAACAGTCTGGAAAGAGTAAAATCAAAAGCTTTCAAGAAACCTGTTTTGATGAAGGAGGACAAGAAGGATTCTTGCTTTCCCTGATCCTGCTTTGAAGGTAAGACTTGAAAATGCCCCTAGCTTAGGAAACAATTGCAGGACCAGAAGCAAAAAGAAAGCAGCTTTGACTTAAAGGCAAAAGAGTCCTCTCTCAGCCAGGTTGGTACTTCAATTGAATTTTCAATTAAACACATACCCCAATCTCATCTCCAAAATCTTATTTCATTTCCGAACAACATTTAACATAATAGCGTAATTTGAATTCTAAACAACAATGAATGCGCCAAGATTGAACAATTCTGAACTAAATGCATAACTAAATAGAACTGCATGTTTAGTCTTAGGAACAGAAGGAGTAGAGGGTGTCATGATAGCAGCCTTCCAATATCTGAGGAGCTGTCACAAAGAAGTTGGGGTCAACCTATTTGCCAAAGAATCTAAGGGTAGGACAAAACGGATGGAAGTGACATACAACCAAGAACTAAGGAGAAATGTCCTGACAATGAGATCAATTAATCAGTGGAAGAGATTGAACAGCCATTTGTCTGGAATACTACAGGGTCTCCTGCTTAAAAGAGGGTTGGGCTAGAAAACTTTCAAGGTCCTTTCCAACTCTGCTATTCTGTGTAAAAAGGGGCACTAAAATTTTAAATTCATAGCAGTCCAAAGCCTGCAAAATATTTAATTCTATTTTAGGAAAAACATATTCCAAAACATCTTGTAGCTAACAAACTAAAAATGTCATTTTAAATGCTCAAGTATTTTTGCTTCTTTTTGTTTGCTTTCACTGATCCAGGAGGAGCTAATAATTATGATCTTGCAATTCTTTGTTAGCATGAGACTTGGGAATTGAAAAGAGTGAACCTAGTTTACTTGCAGATAAGTCTTGTCTGCAGTATAACATATAAAATTATAAATGAAACTGTACTAAGAATACTCTAGATTGCTTCTACAATATTTAAACATCTTTCTGCCATCCTCATTAAATGGTACTTTATATAATGAAGATATGTAAATTAGATACTAAATTGGACTGATTAGCTGATCACCTCTGTAGAACCTTTACTGTGACACTATGCAATTTTTATAAAACCTGTGAAAATTAGACACAGATATAAAAATAAGCATTTGCTCTTTAAGAAGCAAAAGAAGAACTCTTAATTCTGGGCTGATTTTGTTTTTGGAAGGGAGACCAAAAGACATCCTAGGGCTGTAGGTTAGTGTAGTATATTATAAACCATTCTGTCAGAAGGCAGTAGCAAATTATTTTTATATATTTTCCAAGAAAATTAAGTGGCTATAGTCACAAAATTAGCATAATGAGCTTTACTCAAAGGACACATTATTTTATTTATATAATTGAAGTTTCTCTTTCAAGAACAACTTTACTGATAGAAGAAAACAGCTTTTCTGATAGACCATTTATCTTGAAACGAGACTTTATCTGTGTGAAGCATAACCCAGTAGCCAAACTCTCTCTGCAGAAAGTGTACTTTCACATCTTAAGGTATATTTTTGCTAAAGTATGATGTTGCCTTGATAGGTTAATGACATAAAAAGTTACAAAAACCAGAACAAAGGCAGGACATCTGCTTGAAATATTACAGCAAGTAGTTTTAAGACAAAACAGCTAGCATCTCAGTGGAACATGATTTCACAAGCACATTTTAGCTAAAATATCTCATGACACAGAGATTTAACTGTCAACAGATGTGTTTAAAGAACCAGGTCTGCCTCAAGAATATAACCAAGACCAAGTTGCAACATATAAAATAAGCTCAAAATAGAATTCCTACTAATACGATGGTTTTCATTACAAATGATGGCATTTTAGCATAGCTAAATTGATGTACTTTCCAATGTTGTCCATTTATCTACCTGATGACTCATAAATGGAAAAAATATGGAAAATGATATGTGTATCACCTTTTTATATTTGGTTTTATAGTTCTACTTCAAAATTTTGAAAAATTATTGGTCATCTTAATATAAAGAAAGCCACGGACAAAAAACACAGATGTCCTATTAATCTCATACTGAAATTAAGTCTGAATCATAGCATTTTCAAGCTTCCCTCTCTATTGTCAACAATTAGTCAGAACTATTTGGATAAAAAAGCAAGGTTTATAAATAGCATCCTATGCTATCTATAGCATCCCATGATACTATCTTTCTTTGGCTGTGTAACCCATTGCCCATTGCTGTGCTGAATCATTGATTGATTAAAGCTATTGTCCATGTGACTCAGACAGACCGATCTGCATTTAT